GCTCCTGACATTACAAGGGGCAGGGCCTGGGGGCAGGAAAGCTTGTCCAGGGGGGCCAGTGGTGACTTTGTGATGCTAAGTCCCCTCTGTGCTTACGTCTGGGGCCTGGCACACGGCGGGTGCCAGTGACTGTTATGCAGGTGGGGATTGGAGCTCAGGGCAGAATCACAGACAACAGGGTGTGCTGGGCGGGCGGCCGCCCACTTTCCCCGTCACCCAGATGAAAGCCAGAGGCTCTGCCCAGGGTGCAGGGCTGGGAGGGTTTCGGCTGGGGAGAGCTGGGGTCCCCACTGAGCCCTTTCCCTGTTGTTACTGTTGCCATAACGACAATAATAAATGACCACCAGGGGCTTTCCTGTTTATGATGCATTTTTACTCTCTTATCTGTTGAATTGTGTCCCCAAATTCATATGTTGAAGTCCTAGCTCCCGCTACCTTAGAACGTGACCTTTTCGGGAACAGGGTCCTTGCTGATGTAATTAGTTAAGGTGAGGTCATCGGGGTGGGCCCTAATCCAATACTAGTGCGTCCTCATAAAAGGAGGAGATTTGGACAGTGACACACAGGGAGAGGCCACATGATGAGGCAGAGATAGGGTGATGCATCCACAAGCCAGCAACCCACCAGCACGGATGGGAGAGGCCAGGAGTGGATGCTCCAATCTCAGACGACTGGCCCCCAGAACTGTGAGAGAATTTCTGTTGTTCTAAGCCACCCAGAGTGTGCACTTTGTTATGGCAGCAGCAGGAAGCTAACGCTCCTTCCTTCTCACCAGGCAAGCACCAGGATTAGGCCCTGGTGCCCAGTGGGGAGAAGCCCCTGCAGACTCTCGGGGATACAGAGACCCATAGGCACAGCCTGCAGGACCGTGCAAGTCTGCTGTGTGTCCTTGGGCAAGTTGCTGAACGTCTCTGAACTTCCATTTCCTCATCGTGAGGAGGTGACGGCTGGACCCTCTGCCGCTGGGTTGCCCTTAGGGTCATAGGGTCCCGCAGAGCAATTGGCGGAGGGTCCGGGCCTTTTAGAGCCCGGGGGTGGGGCCCTGGTGGTGAGGGCGGGCCCTATAGGGCGAGGGGCGGGGCCAAGCGACCAGGGGCTGCTCGACGCTCGACGTGATCGGCGGTCCTGCGGGGGCCTGCTCGGCGCTCGGCCGGCCGTCTTGCGTACAGCGCGCGTCGCTCTTGGAGACTCCGGGCGCCGCCGTCATGTCGACGGCCATGAACTTCGGGTCCAAGAGCTTCCAGCCGCGGCCCCCGGACAAGGGCAGCTTCCCGCTGGATCACTTCGGTGAGCGGGGGCGGTCGGGGCTCCCCGGCCGGACCGGCGCAGCCCTGGGCCGGCTCGTTGGAGCCGCGCGGCCGGGGAGGCACTGGCGTTTGCTTGCGGTGCGGGCGGGGCCGCTGAGGCTGGGTTCGGCCCGGTCGGGTCCGGTCCCGGCTCAGGGCCTCCCGCCGCGGCCCTAGGGTGGGCGCTGGACGGGGCTGGGCCCTCGGAACCGGGGAGGGGACGCGGAGTCCCGGTCTCCAGTCTGGGGCCGACGTTGCGTCGACAGGGTCCTTCGCGGGTGTGAGGCCCGCGGGGTTAAACGGGTGCCTCGCGCGAGAGCGAAGGACGCTCCTGATCGTCGCAAACTACGTGGAAACCAAGGCTTCGGAGATAGGTTTATGGATGGATTTTTCGTGTGCCAGCATTTTACTGAGAAATGTTAGACACACGCGGCAACGTCGGGAGAATCCCGCGTGAGCGGCCCGGCGCCGCCGCCTGGATGCCCTCCTTCTCCTGTACTTGCTTTCCCACTTGGTACATTTGCGTTTTCCAGTCTGTTTCCAGCGTGTTTCGGGAGGAAACCAGTTTTCAAAGGGGGAGGAGGGGTTCTGCCAGTAAGGCTGCGGGGCGGGCCTGTGATGTTTTCACTTTAAAAAGGAAACACTCTTCTGTTTGTTACAGGGGAATGTAAAGGCTTTAAAGAGAGATTCATGAAGTGTCTTCGGGACAACAATTTCGAAAATGCTTTGTGCAGAAACGAGTCAAAAGAATATCTGGAGTGCAGGATGGAGAGGCAAGTACATGCCAACGGTTATTTATGGCTTCTCCCCCCTCCCGCCTCTGGCTAAAATGTTGATTCCCAGAGGTCTCAGTTGAGCTTGTGTTTCGGAACTGTAGGGCTGCTTGCCCGCGAAGTTGAGGCTTTTCAGAGGTTCAGTTGTACTCCAAGTTGCTTAGCAAAATCACGGGAACCTTTTCTCCCGTGATAGCATTGGACATGATTGCCTTCCTCCGAGTATTTTCTTCCCAAATTTGGGTGCTACTGACATGTCATTCAGCTTTCAGAATCGCGCATCATAAAAATGCTGACTGAGTCGAAAGATTTGAAGATTTGTGAGTACACAGCTTATTCCTTTAAATATTTTTCTTGGAACATAAAAGTCTGTGCTCTGTTGTTTTGTTCCACGTCGGCTCAGAGCTGTTTGCAGCGTGACAGGCGAGACAGTGGGCCCTGTAAGGAACGATGAACGACGAGTGACTCTTCCTGCCTCAATCAGAATGTACTGGACCTCACCTTTAAAGAAAACAAGAACGCTCTTAACTGATCTGTTGAGACTTTCCTTAAAATAAGTACTATTGTAAACCTTCACGGGGAAAGTGTGTAACGTACAATTACGTCCTTGGGTGGGAACTTTTATTTCTGCCTTTTGAGTCCTTCATTAGTTCACTAAGGAGTCATCAGAGGCCTTGTCTGAAGACAGGTTGACATAAACCTGAGCCTCATTTTCATTTTCCCTTAACAAACTCAGACATTCCGCCGCAGGCAAGATCTGCTGTGCTTCTCGGGCCCCGGTGTGTTGAGGGCTGTCGGGGACACTGGGGCCTTTAGGGGGACGGACCCTCAGGTGGCTTCCTGAGTCGCGCAGGCTTGCGGTGCTGGCATCTGACGACGGGCCGGCCCCGGCCCCGAGTAGCGCATCAGTCGGATCTGCACGTTTCAGTCACTCTCTTTCAAATTGATGCGTCTTCAAGACACCTGAACTCCTTGAGTTTCTTCTTGGTATGGCCACGCCTCCGAGACTGAGTTTGGAGCTGGTCTCCGCCCTGTGTGAGGGTGTGAGCAGGTCGCCCGCCTCCCCGAAGCTCGGGTCACCGTCCCTGGGTCAGTCGTCCCTGGGCCAGCACGCGGCCCAGCAGCTCCTGCGTGAGGTTGCTCGGAGGGTTTGGCTGGTTGGGTCCCAGAGCAGCTCCTGCTGCCTGACCAGGGCTTCCAGGCAGGGCCAGCAGAAGCGCCCTCTTTTCCCCATTTGCCCCTGGGAGGGAGCTGCCCGCGTCTCCATGTGGTGGCCCCTCACCCAGCGCAGCTTTTGGGCACCATCCTCCCTGGGCCGCTGAGGACGTGGGGAGACAGGGACGCGGCCGGCCGCTCTGTGGGTCCCACGATTCGAGTGGCTTCACTGGTTGGTCAGGCGACGTTTGGATGAATGTACGGGGATGTATGTGTTTCTGACTTGGCCAGTTATTTTGACTGGAGACTTTCAGTTTGTTTTCAATGAAAATCCTCAAACGTACAAAAGCAGAGGATCGTCTAGATCTCCATAACCATCACCCAGATTCAGGGTCAAGGTTTTTCCCATTTTGCCCTTATCCATCACCCTTTTTAAAAGCCTCTTTTCTCCTCCTCTTTTTTCCTTTCTGCCGACATTCCAGACCTTATTTTGCCCCTACCTACTTCACGTGTGTCGTTTCAAAAACCAGACTGTGGTAGGGTTTGCAAGTCGCCTCACGAGGACTCGGGCCCTGTCAGCCTGAAGTGGACGTGTCTGCGACTTAGGTGGGGGCACGTTTTCTCACAGCAGCAACTGGTAAAATTGGGGTTGCACTGTCGGCAGAGACCCAGCAAACACACGTGTGATCCCCGACCTCAGGTCCGGTTCCCGCCTGAGGCCGGGCCTCCTGACCGGGTGCCAGAGGGTAGAGCAGATGGTCCTGGGAAAGCCCTCTGCCCGACCCAGGGCGCGGCCAGTGAACGCTGGTCACTGTGATCAGGTGCGGGCAGGTTCCCTCTGGAGGCGCTGTCTCCCGGCCTGTTCCAGCTCCCAGCGACGCCGTGTCCTCGGCCCGAGCCCCCTTTCTCCACCCTCACGTTCCACAGGGCTGCATCTGTCCCCTCCTCTCTCCTCTTTACATTTTTTCTCTCTGACCAGGGCCAGCAAAGTTTCTCTGATTTTAAGGATTCGTGGGATTAGGTTGGGTCCACCTGGATAATCCAGGCTGGTCTCATCTCCAGACTGGCTGATTGACAACATTATTTTCATCTTCAGTCTTAACCCCCGTCCCGTGTAAGGTCGCACTCACAAGCTCTAGGGAATAGGGTGTCCTTTGGGAGTCGTGGTCCTGCCGACCGCGGTGGAGCTGACAGTCAGTTGTAAGAGCTGTCGGCCAGTTGTACTCTTTTGGCAAAGATGTGGGAAGGTTTATCATTATTTGCCTGTTTTGGGTTTAAGGAGTGTCTTGTGCATCCCATCACTGTACAGTTGGTTTAACCTGCTGCCAGCTTAGATTGTGCCACCTGGGGTTTGCGATTCTGGGGACATCATCTTAAGGACTGTTGCTGGACCACTGGGTTTCGTGCGCATGGCAGTCAGGGGCAGGTAAAGGGGGCAGGAGTGGAGGGACTGCACCCCGGAGCTGCCAGTCTTTCCTTCACCCCTGCACCTCGACGCGCTCTGCCTCTGGTCTCCTGCTGGCTGTCTAGGCGGCCGGCCCCACGAGTTCCGGGGCGACGTGACGAGGGAGGTGTGGCCGGGAGCACGGCGGGGCTCCTCTGTCCCGGCCTCGGCTGCTTCCTGCCCCTCGGGGGTGCAGGGCTAAGGGTACCGCTCGGGGTCTGTTCCCAGGACGGAGTGGTTGGGGGTGAGGTGGTGGCGGGTGCCCAGGGCCTACCTCGGCCCCACGCGGACAGGGCTTGTCCCCCGGCCACCCCGACAGCTCTCACTCTTCTTTTCAGGCAGCTGATGGCACCAGAACCCCTGGAAAAACTGGGATTTGGAGATTTGATAGATGGAAAGTCAGAGACAAAATCGGAACCGTGATGGGAAGAAGCCCGCAGGGCTGTGTGGGGTTGTCCGATGACCTGCCGCCCCAGCAGCTTGCTTGTAGGTACCGCGGCTCAGGAAGGGGCTTTGGTGATGCCCGCGAGGTGCCACTCGAAATAAAGACAGACACTCCTCCCTGATCGATGCGCCTCGTGGCTGGGAAATGGCTCGTCTTCGGAAGCTCCCAAAAGGATTCTGGAAAACCATTGTCCCTTTTAGATCCCATTTTCCCCCAGGAGTGTTAGGTTTTATCTTTAAGTTCAGGTGTGCGATGGGGCTCCTGGGAAGGTGAGGTGCCGGATGACGTCCGCCTAGTGAGTGGACACCGCAGGTTCCTTGTGAGATGCTGGATTCACATCACGGGTTCTGCGTGTCTTTTCGGTGCAAAAGTGATAAATGTTCACGAATTGTGGTCTGTTATGTAGACAGAGATTATGAGGAAGACGTTTCCTAGCAAATGAGTTTCTCTTTGTACTCATAAATATACGTGCCTTTTCTTTCTTCTTTTCTTTCTTTGGAGGATGAGCTTGGAAGTGGGAAGCAGCCTGGCTTTTGATTCTTCTGACTTCCTGATTGTTTTGCTGACGCACAAACACCACGCATCTTTCTAGTCCAGGGGCATTTTCTGATTTGGATCAGACGATACTTGTTAAACTAGATGGTTTAATTTTAAGAACTCATTTGCTGTAACTGAGAAACAGAACGTCCCCCCGTCGATCGATGTGCACGGTAGCCTCCAGTGCTTTTACTCCGAGGAAGCCCCCGAGACCGCAGCCATCCCTGCTTCCCGGCCAAACGTGGTCGGGGCAGCGCGTTCCCGCTGAGAGCTGCCCAGGGTGCTGTCAGGACAGACCTCCTGGGGGTGCAGACCCCGCGATGGCGTTTCTGGGGCGCCTTGTCGTCTGGGCTCAGAACCACAGCAGAGCCCCCGGACCTGCCCTGTGGACTGCCTTCCCTGGCCCCCCAGTCAGCTGGCTTTTGTCCCAGTGTGACCAGTGCTGGGAGAATCCAGGTGTGTCCCCGCTGGTGGGGACAGCCGGCCCTGATCCCCCCCTTCTTCTGCCTGGCGACCCAGGCCAGGCTCCGGGAAACCCTCGTGGTCTGCTCCTCGGCCGTGTCCAGTTCTCTGTGTTGACGTCCCTCTGCCTCGGTCCTACGGTGATGGCCATACTCGGTCAGGCCCTCCCTGCTGGTCCCTCTAAGGCTGGTCCCATCTCCGCGGGGCTCCCCAGCACCAAGGGCTGCATCTGTGGTTTGTCACTGTTCAGCGTCAGCTCTGTCTGTGCTTCTAATTGTTCTGCAGCTTGTTTCCATATTTTTAGCTAGTTTATGAAAAGCCGTGGTTTCTATCAGCAAAGTGAGCCACGAAAATATTTTCTGTTTTCCAACAGTGCAGCGTCACACACACACAAGGTTATTTATCGCAGCATTGTCTGCAATTGGAAAGCATTTAGAGACGGGGCCCTGGGCGGCCACAGGAAGGACTGAGGGAGAGAGAACGGAGCGCCCCGCGCTGCCCCAGGGGTGGCTCACCGTGAGCAGGCTCCGAGAGGGAACCAGGGCCCAGAGAACGTCGTGGTGAGAGAGAGAGAAGGAACCAGCACGACACCCGCGTGCCTGAGCAACAAGAAACTACGGAAGGCAAACTGGAAACCAGTGAGGATGGTTGCTGACAGGTGTGGGGGTGGGAGGCAGCTCTCTGAGTGCTTCTGACTCGGAGCCATGTTCTTGTTTTCCGTGCTCAAAAGATAAACCGGGACGTGGGGGGGGCCACCGTGGGACAGCGGCAGTGACCCCGAGCCCAGCCGTGTCGCAAATGCTGACTCTGCCCACGGCAGAGGGGCCGGCGGGACGGGACTTGTCCAGGTAGCTTTGGAAAATAGTGTTTTGATTAAAGCTAGAGACAAAAAGATGAGATTTGTGCCCTGGTTAGTATGTTTGTTCTTCACATGGACAGTGGTTTTGAGGCTGTGAATTTTAAGGTGGAAAAAGCTGGAGCTGTGCTGTGGGTGATGAGAGCCGGGGCTGTGGGATCCTGGCTCTCGGACATCTGCCAGGGCAGCGGGTAGGGAAGCAGACGTGTAAGTGTGTATGCGTGCGCGCGTGTTCGTACGGACGTCCCCTCGCTCTGGGCACCAAGGGACCAGGGGCAGTGACCCCTGGCAGCACGGATCTGAGCCTCTCTCCAGCAGGAGGACCCAGGGGCAGGAAAGTCCAGGTGAGCCTGGACCCTCTTGTGTCAGAAAGTAAGGAATTGCTGGAACCATGATGGGCTTGTCGAGAGGACATGCGCTGGAGCTCCCGTGGCCCGATCGGGGACCAGTGGAGCAGAAGAAGGAAGGACTGTTGTGGGCTTTGGCAGCAGAATCAGTTCCTACCCAGGAGCCGCCGTTGATGGAAATACTGAATGGGGTAAACGTATCAGTGCAGGAAGGGACACCCCTCCTCCGGGTCCCAACCCACATGGCAGGAAGGAGCATCGGTGGTCCTGAGGTGGGTGGGCAGCGTGATGTGGAACAGGTTTGCCTGGTCTGGAGGGCGCCCCGTGAAGCACTTGGCAAGCAGCTGAGGCTTCTCAGCGTGGTTGCCTGACTGCCTGCTCCCCACAGCGCCTGCCCCGACCGATGCCCTGAGAAGGCGGCATTGCTTCTGCTGTTGTCTTGCCAGGAGTGCCTCACATCAGTCTAATGAGCCACGCAGACACACCTGACATGAGGGACGGGCTGCAGAGTGAGGAACAGCGCTCCCCAGAAGGGCCGCGTCCTGGACAACAGATGGAGGGGCTGCCCCGGGCCAAGGGTCCAGGGAGGCTAGGGCCACCAGGGAGCCCGAGGGCCCGCACGTCAGTCACAGCACTTCTTGTCCTGTGCTCGCAGAGGGTGTCGTCGGGAGAAGCAGGCAGACAGAACTGTGGCCTGTTTCTGTAACTTTCTGGAAGTCTGAAATTATTTTGGAATCATTTAAAAAAATATTTTGTGCTAAGCTCTTTGTAGTTGAACTTTCTATATACGTGACTGGGTAAATACTCACTTTGAAACACATTCATGAATCTCAGATAGAATGCAGACGTAGTGGTTTCTGCATCAGGAGGGGACGGTCGGGCTCTTGACAAAGGGCAGCAGCTTCCCGCGCTGCCTGCTGTCTCCTGGGTCTCAGTTGCTAAAAATGCCAGGCTCAGGGGTCCAGACGTCCTGTCTGGTCCTGCCAAAGCTCCTGTGAGATATTTTTAGTTGCCCATCATTTGTCGTATAAAGAATGCCTTTTATTTCTCGTACATACTCGTCACGATGAGCCAGCGACATTATTAGAAGACAATTTCCAGAATGTTTTCCAAGTGTCCTCCTTAGGCAGGAGGTAAGCCGGAGCAATCAGGTCAGACCTGGGCCCACAGCTGCCTTCCCGGCAAGTGAGGCCAACGGAGCCCCTTGACCTGGCTCTCACTCCAGCCCCTGGGGCGGAAGCTCGGGGCACAGGGCCAGGCCACCCTCCGTCCACAGCCTTGCACAGGCCTCCACTCTGCAGGCTGGGCCCCAGGTCCTTTTAGCAACTCTGTGAAAACCTCAGGCAGCACACGGGGTGGCTGGAATATGTCTACTGTTAGCAAGGCAGTGTTTTTATTTTTTAAAAAAGGCAAGTCAGGTTTCTTCCCCACTAACAGGTCAGCACAGACTTGGTGGCTTAAACAACACATTTATGCCCCAGCCCGGAGGGCACAAGTCCAAAGGGGAGGGTCCGTCTCCTCCTCTTCCAGCTCCTAGAGGCAACGCGGTTCATGGCCCGAGGCCGTCCTCCATCTGAGCCAGTGGCTTCTCTCATCCCCGACTCGGCCTCCTCCCCGCACCTCCCTCTGGCCCTGGCCCTCCCACCTCCCTCCTGTTAGGGCCCTCATGATGACATTGCCCACCCCCCCCCCCCCCCCCCCCCCCCCCCCCCCCGCGGCATAATCCCGCCTCCCTTCTCAAGACCCTTAACCACAGCTGCACAGTCCGCTTTGCCACGCGGGGCCGCAGAGTCTTGGGTTCCGGGACCAGGACGTGTGCACTTGAGGCTGGTCCTCAGCCGGCGGCAGCACCTGCCAGTGCTTTGGGAGGACGTCGAATTTTCTCAGGGCTGAGTTTAAATCCCTGTGTTTTTTGGAATCTTTGGCACTGGCTTTGCTGCTGCTTGTTGCTGGCAGACGGCGGAGAATGGGTACGTACTTAATAACCGGGATCGGAAAGTCCCTGCCAGCGTGGCATGTGGGACGGGGCCCCCCTTCTTGTCAGGTGTCTGGACGTCCCCTGGTTCTCTGCAAGTGTGAGCGGGTTTGGAACCCTGAACAGCAGATGTTCAGGACGCCTGCCAGTCCGGGTGGTTTCCTGGTATTTTTCTTTTTTTTTTTAGAAACTTTATTTTCCGTCAACCTATTTCCATTTTAAGAGTTTGTGGAAGAACAGCTTAAGAGCACTCGGTGGCGGTTCCTACCCACTCAGTGGCCTGAGCAGCGGGGAACTGCCGAACAGGCACAGAGGCACCTGCACGCCTTCGGACCAGTCCGCCACCTCAGGCTGAGCAGCAGGGAACTTTCTTTATGGCTGTATTTTATAACATGCACGTATCATTTGTATAGAAACAATAAAATCATTAGTTTAAAAAAGCTCATTGTGTTTAGTTGTATTTTATATCCTCTACAAGTTGCGTGCCTGTGGTTGTAACTTGCTGCGGCCCATGAGCAGAGACTGTGCTAGTTTGTGTGTCGGGTGCCGTGTGGCCTTGCTGGTTGAGGGCAGGCTGGCTGCCACCAGGGCGTGGACCCTGTCGGCTCTTAAGGGAGGGGCCGCGTTGGTTCCCCGTGGGAAGTGGGAGCTCCGGCAGTGACCCTGGGGCGGGGGACAGGCTGGCCCCCACGAGCATGTCTTCCCGTCTGCGGTGCCGCTTCCCCAGCCTTTACTTCGGAAGAAAGGGCTCCTGTCTCTGGTGTCTGTCATTCTACCTGCCTGGTGCTTGAAGTCAGTCTTTTAGTGAAATTAGGTATTTATGGACTAGATAAAATAGGGGCTTTATTGTTGCGGGAGGCATGAGGAACGTTCTGTTAACCCGTGGAGCAAGTGACCTTGTCTTAACACTGTGAATAAAGTCTCTCCTGGAGGGATGGAATCAAGTCTCAGCTGTGCTTGTGGAGTGGGGGTCCCTCACCCCGGGAACAGGGCCGAGGGTGCTCTTGCAGAGCCCCGGAGGGAAGCGGGCGTCGGGGAGTCTCAGAGCAGCGGGCTTCCCGCCGTGTTCCCTGCAGGGCCCGGCGATAAACCCGCGACTTCCAGCACCTTCCGGGAGCCTCCATCTGCAGGATTCTGCCAGCTGCCCTTGCGTGGGATTTACAGAGCTACGTGCGATGGCAGATGAGGACTCAGCTTCCGGGGGCCCAGCGGTCTCTGATGGCCGCTCTCTGAGTGTGAAGGGAAGCAGATCTCTTGGGCACTGGGGACAGAGTGAGGCCCCATGATGGGCGCTGGGGGCTGCAGACTGTGTTGGGGGAACAGGCAGACCCTCCCGGATGGGGAGGGTCTCCGGCACCTCGGCGCTGGGGGGACAGAGCTTTCTGAGGGTGCTGAGCCGCGTTACCACGTCAGGGCAGGGGTGGGGGCAGTTAGGGTTGGTTAGGCCAGGGGTGGACCGGCCTTGCCACCGAAGGACAGAAGCCTGGGGGCCTTCCCCTTCTGGCGACCGCGGTCCTGGTGCCTCGGGGACAGAATGTGGTGGCGTGGCGGCCCCTGCTGGACGGTGGCGGCACTGCAGCGCCTGAGAGACACCTGTGGGAGGGCTGTCCCCGAGGGGACAGTGTTATGTGCAGTGGCCTCCACACTCCAGGACCTAAAGATTGGACCAGGGCTTTGCATGCCTGAGGCCCCAGGTCCTGCTGACACGACGGCCCAGCTGGGGGGCCCTGAGCGCAGTGGGGGCCCCAGCTGAGGCTCGTCTACTCCCCCTGCCCCCCCAGCGCCTGGGCCAGCGCCCTGCCCAGCACGGGCTCAGTGACGGCGGCAGGGGCCTCGCCGTCCACACCCAAGGGCTGTGTGCCAGAGGGCGGCAGAGCCCCGTCCAGAAGAGACCACCCTGGGGCACAGGGAACTGGAGGAGGGCTTGCGCCGGGCCTCTGTTCCCGGCCTCACTCTGACCAGAGAGTCCTGGGCGTGATGACTGTGGGGCCGGCTTTCCAGAGACCCCCGTGCCCTCACTGGGTGGCAGCGCCCCATACTTGGCTTCTGACCCCAGCATTCGATGGTTACCACCCTCACGGCCCTGGGATGGGCTGCGGTCAGCCGGGGGTTCTCACCAGGTGGTGGCTGAGGCTCCCCGAGGCCGTTCCGCGTGGCCAGCACCTGAGCGGAGGGGACTCAGGCAGAGTGGCCTCCACGGGGCCTCGGCAGGAGAGCAAGACAGAGACCGAGGCAGAGAGCTAGAGGGAGAGACACAGAGAGAAGGAGAGACACGCAGAGAAGGAGAGACAGAGTGCGCCAGGTGGAAGCTGCATCCTTTCCCGGCAGCCCCGGGAGCACCGTCCTCCACGGGTGGGAGTACTCCTGGCTCCCGCCCCAGGTGGGGGCGAGCAGGTAGGTCCCACCTCTCAGTGGGAGTGGGGCGGGGGGGGGGAATGTCAGTGACGTGGTGCAAGATCCTGGGGGAGGGGAGATGGATGGATGATGGATGAACAGGGTGGGGCACAGACAGAGGGCCCCTCTCTGGGAAATCCAGGACCCCTCACACCCCGCCCCATCCCCTATCCTGACAGGTTGGATCAGAGCCCGGCCCGGCTCTGTCTGCAGTCTGCAGAGCCTGGTGAGCTGTGAGATGCTTCCAAAGGGACTGCGGCCTTCCCTGCCGCCTCCCTCTGGGGGTGGGGGGGGGTCCCTCGTGCTCAGTCCTCAGGCCTGTGGTCTGATCCTGGAGACAAGCCTCAGGAGGCAGGTGACCCAGGGCCTCCCCGTCACTAAGGGCTGCTGAGGGGCGGAATGAAGGACCCCTCCGTTCAGTGGACCCGGTGGGCTCAGCACAGGGGCTGGGACTGTCACGTGGAAATACTCTTCAGATCCGAGGACTCACATGAGTAGAAACGCACACTGCCCTTTCGTGACTGGGTTCTCTCACCGAGCATCGCGTGTTCAAGGTTTGTCCAGGTTCTAGCTGTGTCAGCACTTCCTTCCTTTCCTGTGGCCGAGTCCTGTACCACTGCAGGGAGGGACCACGTTGTGTGTATCCATTCATCTGCTGATGGACGCGGGTCGTTCCCCTTTGGCTCCTGTGAGTAACACTGCACGTGCGTGTTTCTGAGTGAACGTGTGTTTTCTGTCTCGCGTGTGTACCTAGGAGTGGCACTGCTGGGTTGCGTGGTGAGTGTGTTTAAGTGTCAGCACTGGCGAGTCTCTGTGGCTGAACTGCCCCCGTCCCAGCGTGTGTGCGGCCGTGTCTCATCTCCCTGACCACGCGTGATGCTGAGCGGCGTCATGTGCACACTGGCCGTCTGTGCGTCTTCCTTGGAGGAGGCTCTGTGCAGATCCTCTTCCCGTTGACTTGTGAGAGTTCTTTATAAGTAAGTTTTTAAAATTTATTTATTTATTTTATTTTTGGCTGCGTTGGATCTTCGTTGCTGCGCGCGGGCTTTCTCTAGTTACAGCGAGCGGGGGCTACTCTTTGTTGCAGTGCGCGGGCTTCTCACTACGGTGGCTTCTCTTGTTGCGGAGCATGGGCTCAAGGTGCACAGGCTTCAGTAGTTGTGGCACACGGGCTCAGTAGTTGTGGCTCGTGGGCTGTAGAGCACAGGCTCAGTAGTTGTGGCCCATGGGCTCTAGAGCACAGGCTAAGTAGTTGTGGCACACGGGCTCAGTAGTTGTAGCTCGTGGGCTCTAGAGCACAGGCTCAGTAGTTGTGGCACACGGGCTCAGTAGTTGTAGCTCGTGGGCTCTAGAGCACAGGCTCAGTAGTTGTGGCACACGGGCTCAGTAGTT